TTTGAGAAGAAAAACGCTTTAGTATACAGTCCCCACACAACTTGCCGAACTACTTTCCTCAGCACCAAAACCGGTCGGTGTGGATGCACAACACTGATGACGGGGATGCCATACAAATTTATGTCAAAAAATCCAAACTATCCCTTTAAGTCATTTATCAACCACATTATTATTTTTCCCTTGTCATCATTTGCTTCTCCTCTTGACTGTGATGCTTTTCTTGTAACAGTCGGGATGGTACTGCCAAATCACTTACCCCTGCCACACGTACAGAAAGACTATGATCACACTTTGCACCCTCAGTTAATTGTTGACTGAAGGCCTTGTCCCACTTTAAGATCACATTTGTTAAAATTCATTTTGTTAATTTCTCAATATCCTACAGTTGCATATAATTATTAGTTTTGGTTAATTTATCACATTAGACATTGTTCATTTATATATACCTTTCCATTCCTCATACTTACCTGCAGCTCCACACGGTCCAGACAAAAGAGGAGGCGAGTTTTAAAAACTTGGAGGAGGTTATGGGCTGGACCATTTGGCGGGGAGAACTGGTTTAAGTTCTTTTTCATTATTTTTACCTCTGCCAAGGAGGTTATGTTTTTGCCGGCGTTTGTCTGTTTGTTTGTTTGTCTGTTAGCAACATAACTCAAAAAGTTATGGACCGATTTTGATTAAATTTTCAGGATTTGTTGGAAATGTGAAAAGGAAGAACTGATTTCATTTTGGGGGTGATCCGGAAGAAATCCTGGATTCTGGATCAGTTTGAAATTTTAGTTAACATTGTGGTAAATGGGGCCAAAAATTTTGTTTCTCAATATCTCGGTTAATTATTGACCAAACCCCATGAAATTTGACTCAGGGATGGACAATGGGATCCTCTTTCATAGTCCAAATTGAAAGATACGAGACAAATATTTATGGAAAACACAATTAATATGAGGGGGACTATAGTCCTTGGCAGAGGTCTGCGCTCTCTGACTGCTTTTCTAGTTTTATATCTGGTTTTATAGTTTATTTTCAATGCACTGTTTAGTTTATGTTAAATATTTTGATTTTAAAAGGGGACTTGGGCTCAGGAAAAGAAATCCTCGGTTTGCTTTGAAGAGAGACCTGGACCTGATGCTCACCTGGGGGAGGTACTTCCTGCTGGGTGGGGTATAAAAGCAAAGCAGGTGGCATCAATTGGGAGACTTCTGTGCAGATTTGTGCAGGTTGTTTAGTGCTTTTGATTTGAGTTACTTCTTTTCCTTTTATTTGTACTTTCTTTTGCGTTGCTCCAGAAGTCTGTTTTAAAATAAATTTGACAATTGTTGTGGTTTTCGTCTGCCTCCTAACATTGCTATGAGTGGAGGAGCTGGCCAGACATGGTCGGAGTTTCTTTCATGGATTGTTAATGTTGTTGGCAAAATAAGCAGAGCTTCCTGTCTGTTGATCATGTCCTACTTCGTAGCTGTGAGCTAATTTGAGGTATGGTTATGGTTGAATGTGATGTTTTTTGTCATAGTTTTATTTTACCCTTATCTGTAAAAGTTGTAAAACACTTCTTTTGCCCATGTACTTCACCTTTATTGTCAAAATCCTGTGGATCTGGTCAATATTGGCAGCATCTTGAAATTTCTGTCTTCTGCAGACACTTTTAAGTGATTGCAGGCCTTGAGTTGTTCCTCTGTAAATGTTCTTGTCTTGATTCTTGATTCTTCTCTAGATTTCTGGCAAATGATACAATCTCCATAGGAAGGACTGAACATGGAACATCTCAAACAAACACACTTTTCCATTTTTCTCCACCACCGCAGTATGAATAACTAGTAACTCCGTCACATGTATTGTATGACAACATTTCAGTAAATAACTATCGGCTCTGTTCTCAATAAAGAATGAAAGCTGTGGAAAAAGTGATAAATGACTTCTAGGAATAAAATTGAGCAATATAGCTATATATTGTATTTGTTCCAGTATGCTAATTAGGAGTCACGTGGTGATTTCTATCTTAGTTATAATATTTATCTGATTTTGTGTACAGTCCCTGACAAAAGTCTTGTCACTTATCCATTTTGTAGAAACAAAAGTTTATAACCTGACTTTAAATTAATCGATTGGTTTTAGAAATGTCTCATATGAAAGCTAAAACCCTCCCAAATTATGCTCAATATACTAAAATAAATTTGCTTCACTGAAAAAAGATTGATCATTCAATGAACACAGAAAGGTCAGATTTTGGCAAGACAAAAGTCTTGTCGCCTTGTCATATGATGCACCCAATCCTAGATTACAGCCTCACCTGTGATCAGTTACTGATCAATCAATTAGTGGGTGTGTATAAAAAGAACCCAGCACACCAGACCTTCACATCAACTGCAACTTGACCTCTGACAACATGCCTAAGATCCACCCTGAGACCAAAGCGTTAATTATCAAGAGGCTGAAGACCAGATCCACTGCTGAAGTGGCTGACACCTTTAATGTGTCTCAGCGTCAAGTACAAAGAATAAGAAAAAGTTCTGAAATGACTGGAGATGTTTTTGACAAGCCCAGGTCCGGCAGACCCCGCAAGACAACTGCTCGGGAGGACCGTTCAAATCCAAGGCCAGCCCCTTTTCCACTGCAGCAGACTCCACCAGGCCTGGTCACCTCAAGTCCCTGTGTCAACCAGAACAGTTTGTAGAATTCTGTCTCCAAATGGCCTCCATGGTCGAATCAGTGCACAGAAACCAGCACTAAACAAAAGGCAATTAAAAAAACGTGTGGCATTTGCCAAGGCCCACAGCCTGCTAAAAGGACGGACACTGGAAAAGTGGCAGAAGGTGGATTTCTCAGATGAATCCTCGGTCGAATTACATCACAGCCGCTACAAATATTGCAGGAGACCTACTGGAGCCCGCATGGATCCAAGATTCACCCAGGAAACAGTTAAGTTTGGTGGCAGAAAAATCATGGTCTGGGGTTCCATCCAGTATGGGGGTGTGCGAGACATTTGCAGGGTGGAAGGCAATATCAACAGCCTAAAATATCAAGAAGTATTAGCTCCTCTTACATTCCCAACTATAAAAGGGGTCGAATTTTGCAGCACGATGGTGCTCCATCGCATACTTCAATCTCTACATCAAAGTTTCTCAAGGTGAAGAAGATCAAGGTGCTCCAGGACTGGCCAGTCCCAGTCACCAGACATGAACATCATTGAGCATGTCTGGGGTAGAATGAAAGAGGAAGCATGGAAGGCAAAACCAAAGAATCTTGATGAACTCTGGGAGGCATGTAAGACGCTTTCTTTGCTATTCCTGATGACTTCATCAACAAATTGTATGAATCATTGTCGAACCGCATGGATGCAGTCCTTCAAGCTCATGGAAGTCATACAAGATATTAGATATGGATCTCACAGCACCACTACTTAATTCACTGACGTTATGCAACATATTTTTCTATTTGAAGTAAATTATTTGTTCAATTTTCGGTAGGCGACAAAACTTTTGTCTTGCCAAAATCTGACCTTTCTGTGTTCATTAAATGATCAATCTTTCTTCAGTGAAGCAAATTTATTTTAGTATATTGAGCATAATTTGGGAGGGTTTTAGCTTTCATATGAGACATTTCTAAAACCAATCGATTAATTTAAAGTCAGGTTATAAGCTTTTGTTTCTACAAAATGGATAAGTGACAAGACTTTTGTCAGGGACTGTATTTATGTATGTATATATTCTGGACATTTTATGAAATCCATTTATATAAAGGGAACTTTAATTGCTATGCTATTATTCAAATTAGCAGTCTTAAAACTATGAATCAAGGATATGGAATCAGCATCCTCGAATTATGGGAAGAAGCATGTTTACCAACGCCAAATTTGTCCTCAGAATTACTGTCAGTCTCCCTCATTTCCTTCAACCCACCCAAACCGCACAGCAGCCCAAATCCACCCACCACGAACAAGCCACCCATACAGTCACATGCACTCACCCACATGTGCGCACACACACACACACACACACGCACACACAGGCACTCTCATGCTAAAATACATAAAACTATATATAGTAAAACATATATGTTCTATGAATACATTATCCTACCATGCACCTCAAAGTCCGCTGTGTTTAGGATCCATGAATGATTATTCTTAGACCAAATATCATCATTAAAACCTATAATTTGGCTGTGTATTTTTATTACTTTGTGATTTCAAAAGTGAAGTTTCTGAAATAGATTATAAATCTTTCTTGTGCAACATTCTAGCTGATTAGCCTCCTACTGAACTGTATTTTCTCTCCTCTATATTGAATATTTATTGAAAATGTATTTTGTGATCTGGGGGAGGACTGGGGCACTAGGGACTGTCCAAAGAATAAACCACATTTCTGCTGTTTAGGAGGGATTTCACTGTAATAAAAAAAATGACAGATGAGACATTGTATAAAGAAGAAGTGTACAAGGAACTTCCTGTTCTAAGCCTTTATGCGGTGACAAATATTTTCCATATTAAAGTGGAACTAAACACTATAGGCAATTTCTTTGGCATTGTTTATTGTTCCTAGTCATTTTTTGGCAACTTGGCAGACTCTGTAAATTTGCAGCTTTCAGCTGAAAAATGGCCAAAGAGTTTGTGCTCCCTCCAGTGGCCTGTGCAATTTCAAGTAGTTAGTGACATCACACAGCACTGCACTGATCACATACAGGTGTTTCTGATACAAACAGAAACACCTTCTGATACAAACAGAAACACCTTTAGTCCTCCAGACACCACCCCTCCTCCCCCCTCACTCTCCCCTTTAGTCCTCCAGACACCGCCCCTCCTCCCCCCTCATTCTCCCCTTTAGTCCTCCAGACACCGCCCCTCCTCCCCCCTCACTCTCCCCTTTAGTCCTCCAGACACCGCCCCTCCTCCCCCCTCACTCTCCCCTTTAGTCCTTCAGGTAGTGTCCAGTTTAGCGGCTCTGTCTGACATGTGGGTGCGGGTGGAGTTTAGGTGTTTAGTCTGAACTGCTCTCTCTTCTCAGATGTTGGGGGTAAAGTCATTCACCTGGTGGAGAGAGCCCCTCCACCGGCCTCTCAGCCCGGCTCCGGCTCTGGCGCCTCTCCCGTTGATAGTGCTGGCTCCTCCTCCTCACAGCAGGGGGTGCCACAGGGACCACCACACGATCGAAATGCCAACAGCTATGTGATGCTTGGGACATTCAACCTGCCAGTCAATATCATGGACCCACAGCAAATACAGGTGAGAGACAAATGACAAATCCATAGTGTTCATTATGGATGCAACAGTACAGTCTTCCCACGACTGTGTGCAGGCTGAACACGTTTTCTGTTTTGATTCCTTCAGATGTCTGTCCAACAGATGGTGTCCGGAATGGGAGATTCCGCACGTAACGCGCGAGTGACCACATCCACCGGGGTATGAGTGACATCTCCTGAAATGTTGTTCGCAATTATCTGTGCATGTTTGACCTTTTCACACATCTTGTAATTGTAATGTAATTCCTCTTCGCCAGCAAAATGAAAGACAATGGAACTCAACAGTGCCCTTTTGCTCTGCTTCCGGAATATTTTTCAATAATTTTTCCCATAGACATAGCGAAAAATGTAAATATTAAGACTTACTCACTCAGGCTAACCAGCTATGTGCTAACTAATATCCATAACGTGGACGCTGTTTAAAACGCAAGATTCTGCAAGTTTTAATAACTAAAGTCATTTAAGAAGTTTGAGATTTGAAATCAAATTAAAGGTCTTGTGGTCATAAGTTACCACGTAGCTGATTATCACCAAGCAAGCTTTCAAACATTGTATATAAATTTTTTTCAGAATGTCTGTGAGAAAAATGAATGGGAAATTTAGTTCCAGAAGCAGGGGGTAGTCGGTCACTGAGCTTCATAAAACAATAATAATAATCCGTTGGGTTTCAAAGAGTGACAGTGCGTCGTGTTGTTTGATGTTGTGCAGAGTAACGGCTCAGTGAATGTGCACATCGATATGGAGCAGCCGGTGCAGAGTGAACCGCGACTGAGGCTCGTTTTGGCTGAAAATCTGCTGCGAGATGTCAACGAGATGATCAGTCGAATGGAGGTGAGACAGAGACTTTTTCTGTCTTAAAACATGAAAAACAGAAGCACTCCACTTACCTTATGCAATCTGAACATCCTAATTATATATTACATTCTTTTTATAAATATTAAATCTTTAATAACTACGTTATTTACATTATAATTAGTTTTTATGGTTCATGGTGATTACCGTATTTTTCGGACTATAAGTCGCTTCGGAGTATAAGTCGCACTGGCCAAAAAAATGCATCATGAAGAAGAAAAAGGGGAAATTTATTTTATAAAATCAGAGACCAGGAAGTGACATTTAATCTTGAAAGGCAAGTTATAGTAATAACAATAGAATAAAGAACAACAGGCTGAATAGGCGTCTGGTATGTTAACGTAACATATGAACAGTATAACTATAGCATAAACAACAGAACATAAGTTTACCAAACTCTCAATCTCACTCCAAATCACTAAATCCATTGAATCCATTGAATTCTTCATTCTCGGTGTCACTTCTGAGCAACTCTGCACAACTTTGGTTGTCACAGAAGTCCAGGCATGGTGCACCCTCCTGGTTACTGTGAAGCTGTGTTCTCCATTCCCGCTTTCTGCCAGTCCCTCACAAGTTTCTCGCTCACTCCATACTTTCTTTATGTTGCTCGATTACTGTTTTTGGCCACACATTTCACTATGTCCAGCAGGACAGCGGCTTTTTCTGCAGGAGACATGCGCAGAAAACTGACACACAAGCCTAGAGCGCCCTCTCGTGGCTGTCAGTCTGAACATTTTAAGTCGCAAGACCACCCAAACCATGAAAAAAGTACGACTTATAGTCCGAAAAATATGGTGTTATCTGATTATTATTATTTGGGTTGCCACTGACACTAAAATCCAGTTGGTTTAAACCTAAAAGTCCTCTCTTTGATCTGATGGTCACTCCCTAAACCCCAGCACCCGATGGTCTACGCAGGTGCACCTCCGGGCCTGTCCTGACACTTGGTACTGTAACGAAGCCCGGCGCAATCCAGGGGTAGCCTGGCCTGTGCTCTCCACTGTGCAATAAATGGCCCAGAACCCAAGGAGGCACTCAAGTTATTTTTCAGAAAGCCACATAAAAAGAGGTGTTCTGAAAGCTTGTATGCCCCATGCACCAAATAGGCTAATGGTGTTTCATTATTTCATTTTGTTGCCTTGTTGTAGTTTCTTAGGCCTTTATAGTATTTTATATATTTAATTTGTATTATCATATAATTGTTACAAGAACAAGTTAATATTGGTTGAGCTAGATCTTAAGATACGTATTTGAAATAAAAACATCAAGATTTATTTTTTATTTTTTTTTCTTTGTAATTTATTCTTTGAATGTTAAAGAATCTAAAGTTCAAACTAAACTTTAAAATCAGTGCTACTTGGTCTGTGGGAAACACTGTGATTGTAGTACTTCTTTAAAAACAGTATTTTTTTTATAAAAGAAAACTAAAATATATATGAATGAAACAGAAAGTGGAGAGTAGATCCATGTTCCTCTTTCGCAGAGCTTTAAACCATAGACAAACTCAATATCCAAGGTACTTTTAGTCACTTTTTTTACTAAAAAGACTAACACAAAATATATATGACTACAAAAGACTGGGAATAAAATTATATAAAAATTTCTTGTCAAAATGAACCCTGGTCTTATGATGAAATGTGAGCAGTGTTTGACTCCATGTACAGGTTCTGTCTCTAACACTCCTGTTTCCTGTGTGTTTAGAGCCGCTCCAGTGACGCATCCTCTCAGACAGACGCAGCCACAGCGCCCTCTTCTGGCTCCTCTCCTTCAGTGCAGCCCATGGACACGTCTCCTCCTGCCTCCACCCCCCCTCCTCCACCCTCGTCCACTGCTCCATCTGAGGGACCCACGCCTCAGCCAGGGCCCAAGTAAGACACAGCCTGTTTCAGTTTCGGTTTACATGAAGGTCAAAAGTTGTGACTATTCTAATTAGAGCAAGATTTATAGATTGGGTTTGACCATGACTCAGATTTGGGGTCCAGAGGTTTTAATGTCTTGTCAGAGTAACACAACTGATTATGAGATTTGTATGTAGATGCGTTAGGGCTGGGAGGTATAGTGATAAAAATTTTATCATGATATCAGCTTTTCTGGTCTGGTCTTTGGTGTTCTTTTCCCCACCTTTTTCTCCTATTGGTCACCATTCCTAAGGCTCTGAGTGAGTGACAGGTGGAATTAACCAATCATAGACAAGTATGAACTCTCAGAAAAAGCAGGTCACCATTTACTTCTTAAAGATATTATGAAGATACTAAGTCTACATGAATTGTGATAAGAGTGAAATCGTACTTAGAGGATTTGCATTTAAAATATAAAAAAAATTGTTGAGTTATGGTTACTTTTTCCTTTGCTACATAATTCCATATATCTTTCTCTAAATATTTAGTGTCTTCTATGTGTATCTAAAAAGTAGAAAGTTGTAAGAATAAAGACAAAAAAAACAATGAATGAGAAAGTGTGTCTAAACTTTTGACTGGTGGTGTTTCAATACTAGTTTTAAGTTGAGCTTTTACAAATGTAGACATTATTTTAACCCTCTCAGACTCAAATTAAGTTTTAGTAAGAGGAAAATATATCTGATATTTGGGTAAAATTATCATATGGAGTAGTAATATACAATCCAGACTTTTATTTGAGAGAGACCTTCACATCCAGTGTGTTCTGGGATGTTGCAGATTTGGTCCGGTGCGGTAAATTAACACTGAAGACTGAAAATGATATGAATGCTAATTTGTATACCACTTTTCATAACAATGAAAGCAAAAAGCACAGTGTAACAGTACTTTACAGTGGCAGAACAACTTGGTATAGATCACTTTTTCGTGTGGTACTCCAAGAACATTTTTTTTACCCTTTGTAAAGCACAAAAGTACTTTGCACTTCTAGCAGACCATTTGCGTGTAGCCATTCTTGCACAGTCTGCATCATCCACATTTATCAGCATGGATGGGAAAAAAGGCTCCTGAGTAAAAAAGCTCATAAAATAGTAGGTAATTGGCATTTAGCTGCCTGGAGAGGGTTAAGTTAGAAATTCCAGATATGGAGAGTATGTTTAAAAAGGAATTAAAGCTACAAGAAGGCATCATATGTCCACTTTAATATTTGAAACTGGAATATAGACTGACCTCATTAGCATTTAATGTCAACAAAGAAGCATATATTGGTTTATTTATCTATTCATTTGTGTTCTCAATAAAGCTATAAAATAAATAAAACTCAAAAGCTGGAAAAGGATAATGATGAATAATAAAAAACATACATTACCTTGACTGGGAAATGGATAGATAAACCCCTTTTCTAAACACATGTTCAGTGAGGAATATGTATTTGTTCACCTAAAGCCACCCCAGCCCTGCAGAGCTGGCGGAGATGCTGACGGAGCTGAGGAGGGTGGAGGAGAGACTGCAGCCTTTCATCCAGAGAGCACACACTATTCTGGAGACAGCCACCAGCGCAGAGTACACCAACAACACAGTATGTCCTGTCTACATATACATACATACATACGTACGTACATACATACATACATACATACATACATACATATATACAGTCCCTGACAAAAGTCTTGTCGCTTATCCATTTTGTAGAAACAAAAGCTTATAACCTGACTTTAAATTAATCGATTGATTTTAGAAATGTCTCATATGAAAGCTAAAACCCTCCCAAATTATGCTCAATATACTAAAATAAATTTGCTTCACTGAAGAAAGATTGATCATTTAATGAACACAGAAAGGTCAGATTTTGGCAAGACAAAAGTTTTGTCGCCTACCGAAAATTGAACAAATAATTTACTTCAAATACAAAAATATGTTGCATAACGTCAGTGAATTAAGTAGTGGTGCTGTGAGATCCATATTTAATATCTTGTATGACTTCCATGAGCTTGAAGGACGCATCCATGTGGTTCAACAATGATTCATACAATTTGTTGTTGAAGTCATCAGGAATAGCAAAGAAAGCGTCTTACATGCCTCCCAGAGTTCATCAAGATTCTTTGGTTTTGTCTTCCATGCTTCCTCTTTCATTCTACCCCAGACATGCTCCATGATGTTCATGTCTGGTGACTGGACTGGCCAGTCCTCGAGCACCTTGATCTTCTTCACCTTGAGAAACTTTGATGTAGAGATTGAAGTATGCGATGGAGCACCATCCTGCTGCAAAATTTGACTCCTTTTATGGTTGGGAATGTAAGAGGAGCTAATACTTCTTGATATTTTAGGCTGTTGATATTGCCTTCCACCCTGCAAATGTCTCGCACACCCCCATACTGGATGGAACCCCAGACCAGGATTTTTCCGCCACCAAACTTAACTGTTTTCTGGGTGAATCTTGGATCCATGCGGGCTCCAGTAGGTCTCCTGCAATATTTGTGGCGGCTGTGATGTAATTCGACCGAGGATTCATCTGAGAAATCCACCTTCTGCCACTTTTCCAGTGTCCGTCCTTTTAGCAGGCTGTGGGCCTTGGCAAATGCCACACGTTTTTTTAATTGCCTTTTGTTTAGTGCTGGTTTCTGTGCACTGATTCGTCCATGGAGGCCATTTCGAGACAGAATTCTACAAACTGTTCTGGTTGACACAGGGACTTGAGGTGACCAGGCCTGGTGGAGTCTGCTGCAGTGGAAAAGGGGCCTTGGATTTTCGAACCAACAAACGGTCCTCCTGAGCAGTTGTCTTGTGGCGTCTGCTGGACCTGGGCTTGTCAAAAACATCTCCAGTCATTTCAGATCTTTTTCTTATTCTTTGTACTTGACGCTGAGACACATTAAAGGTGTCAGCCACTTCAGCAGTGGATCTGGTCTTCAGCCTCTTGATAATTAACGCTTTGGTCTCAGGGTGGATCTTAGTCATGTTGTCAGAGGTCAAGTTGCAGTTGATGTGAAGGTCCGGTGTGCTGGGCTTCTTTTTATACACACCCACTAATTGATTGATCAGTAACTGATCACAGGTGAGGCTGTAATCTAGGATTGGGTGCATCATATGACAAGGCGACAAGACTTTTGTCTTGCCAAAATCTCACCTTTCTGTGTTCATTAAATGATCAATCTTTCTTCATTGAAGCAAATTTATTTTAGTATATTGAGCATAATTTGGGAGGGTTTTAGCTTTCATATGAGGCATTTCTAAAACCAATCGATTAATTTAAAGTCAGGTTATAAGCTTTTGTTTCTACAAAATGGATAAGCGACAAGACTTTTGTCAGAGACTGTACATACATACATACATACATACATACATATATGAGCATAGGAGAAACATGTATTGCACGAAGCAGTAGATTTTTTTACGCATTGTTCATTTCTTTCATTTTTATAATAGATAATACCGCATCAGTGTAAGTTGGGAGTGCAATAGAGGAGGTGGGCCAAAGCCCAGCACAGTTGCTCATGTACGTGCATATGCATGACTTCACTATACAATCTGTCAGGTGCTCTGATGTCATTCATACAAGGAAAACAGTGAATAAAGTCCGCTCTAGAACACACAGTGAATCGGCTGGGGACAGCGACAGCGAAAGTTTTGCAGCGCCGTCTCCAGCTGTCCTCACTGTTCCTCCTGCCCTCATCTCCAGCTGTCCTCACTGTTCCTCCTGTCCTCATCCCCAGCTGTCCTCACTGTTCCTCCTGCCCTCATCTCCAGCTGTCCTCACTGTTCCTCCTGTCCTCATCCCAGCTGTCCTCACTGTTCCTCCTGTCCTCATCCCCAGCTGTCCTCACTGTTCCTCCTGTCCTCATCCCCAGCTGTCCTCACTGTTCCTCCTGTCCTCATCTCCAGCTGTCCTTACTGTTCCTCCTGTCCTCATCCCCAGCTGTCCTCACTGTTCCTCCTGTCCTCATCTCCAGCTGTCCTCTCTGTTCCTCCTGTCCTCACTGCTCCTCCTGTCCTCATCTCCAGCTGTCCTCACTGCTCCTTCTGTCCTCATCTCCAGCTGTCCTCACTGCTCTGAGCTGCTATTATATCCATAAACTCACGGAGGAGCGTGTATCGCAACAGACCTATAACTACCACCCTATTTAATAGATGTTTCATGCCGCTGGATTTTTCTTCACAAAAAGCAATAGCACTGCTGCACAACATGTAAACAAACAGCACCGTGTGATGTCATTGGCCATGGCCCGGTTCAGTTGTGTACGTGTGAGTGCGGAACATAGAACCCTACACAATCGTGTTTGGGCACAGCACGGTTCTAAAGTCTTAGTGTGAGTGTGCCGTTATATTCTGCTTTCCCAGATGCTCAAAGCCACTTTACAATTTTGTGCATTTTTCATTCCCTCCATGCTCTGTAGTGTTAAGTTATTATTATTATTATTATTACTATTACTATTTTAGCCACAGCTACAATCTGCACCACCACCAACACTCACACATCACATTCAGACCAGGCAATGTGGGTGAAATGTTTTGCCTCAACAAATGTTAGCATGCACTAGAACCATGAGCACCCCACTATGGCACCTAGTATTCCGAGAGGTCTCCCATCCAAGTACTAACGAAGACCAGCCCTGCTTAGCTTCAGAGATCTAACAAAATCACTCTTTGACAATTTGGCTTTTACTTAATGATGTTTTTGTATTTCCGTCACAGGAGAGAGAGGAGAACCAGCGTGCACTCACTCTGACCTGGGAGTGTTTACGTCTCCTTGGAAACGCTCTGGTTGCCCTGAGCGACCTGAGGCTGAACCTGATGAGTCCAGTGCCCAGGCACCTCCATGTGGTGCGGCCCTTCTCCCACTACAGCGCCCCCTTCAGTGCACCGCTGCCTGGAGCAATGCACCCACCCATCCCTCTGCAAGTACGCACCACTCTTATGTGCCTTAGGAATGGATGATATTAACAAAATGAATGCCTTTTTTTATAACAATATTCAGACAATAGTTTAACAGTGCACCAGGAATGTGCTGAAATGGGCCTGTAAATGTCTTGGTTGAGATTCAAGTGTCCCACACAACTTGAATGGAGCAGAAAGTTAACCTCAAAAGTGCAGAAATAGTGTTTCAGTAGTTTAAATTTAAGCATTATACTCAATGTTGATTGTCAGCCCTAATACTATTATGAGAATATTAGTTTGACTTTAGGCCCTGTTAACATTTCTTCTTTGTCTAAAGTTCATGATCCCAGACAAGCTGAAAAAACAACAAGTTGTATTTCCTAACCAGAAGCCTGTTCCAGTCAGAGAAAACAGAAATAAGATTAAACCTTTTCCTGTGTTTGTTTCAGTTCTGTATTTGTATTATTATTACTAATTCCCATGTTTCTCTTCCATAGATGAACTTGGGTGCCACAGTGACTGTCGCAGCCAACAGCACTGATGGACAAGCCCCTCCCCCTCCAGCGACCGGCCAGTCGGAGCAGGCAGGTCAGGGACAAGCCCCTCCTTCTCAGACTTCCCCGTCCAATCAGCAGGCTGCACAAGGGCAGGCTGGTGGCCCCCGGGTCATCAGGATCAGCCACCAGGCCGTGCCGCTGGTTCTGATGCAGATGAACGCGGACGGTGTGTGGCCCCTGCAGCCCCGAGCTGTTCACGCTCTCAGACATGTGCTATAGATATGTGCTTAAACTATAAACATGTGCTTTAAAGTTCCTATATTATACTAAAGTGACTCTTGTGAGCTGTAAGTCATGTTACAATGTTGTTCCCTCCTCAAAAACATACCTGGAGTTTCCTTCACACATATTTGAATGATCAGTAATAATAGTCTGTCTGTATCTCCAAATCTCAAAATGCTCTGTTTCACCTTGTGATGTCATGTAGTGGTAGTTTTCTAGTTAACAGCTCTTTTTACCTTTAAAAAGCTTTAGTTCAGTTGAGATTGTCAGAACTGAAATGATCCAAATTATTCTAGTGAAGGTGTATGAAGTTTAAAAACACAGTGGATGCAAAAACACAATTCCAAGTATGCTTTTGATGCACAAACAATATTATAACATACATCAGAAAATAGTGTAATACAGGCCCTTTAAAATGTCAGTTATGAGCTGGAAACTACAAACATGGCCTTTAAAACTAAAAATATGTGCTTAAACTATCAGATTTGTGTCTGTGTAATCCGTCAGTCGCCTGATCTATGAGGTATGAGCAAAAGAAAGATTCTGTCAACTGGACAACTGTCAGCTGGACTGAGTCAGCTCATCTCTTCAGACAGATATAAGGCCGTGTCACTCCAGAAACCTGATCACAACTGAAGCTTGGCTTGGATGAGCACTGAAACATTTTCACGCTATAACTTTTGTCCAGTTGACAGAATTGAATCAGAGATGTTTTAAACTTTAAGTATATGCTTTATAGGACATATATTATGCTACATTTACTTGTGCTTTTAACCATGTTATAACATTGTTCCTTCATCACTATATTTGGAGTTGTATATTGCTCTGTACTCATGCTGGTTTAATGTATCCTGTTTAGTAAGTCTCCCCCTCTGAGCTCTAAAAACACACCATTTGTATTTCCCAGGATTGTCACTTCACAAGTAAAAGTCCATAGATCAAAATCTGAGCATTTTTGCCCTCTGATTGCATTCATTAGAACTGCATGCCTACATGACATGGGGATCACTAACCCACTAACCCTGTGGTCCCATTAGATGGCCACCTAACTCCGTTTGCCAGTACGTGGAGCGTATCTGTGAGAACATGGATTTTATTGCCTGAAGATAATAATGATTTTAAGCTTTGAACCTGAAATACCAAGGCAAAGATGCTGAAGAGCATGTTTAAAGGCCAATAACATTACAAAGAATGCATAATATTTGTTCAAACATGTGATTTTAAACATAAACTTATGTGTGTGTGTGTGAGGAGGCAGTAGACAGAGCATAGATTATAAATAATGCTTTTTCTCTTGGTTTAATCACAGCTGAAAAGTTTTAATGGCACATATAACCACTAAAATCACACTCTTCTTTCTGCTGCCTCAAGCCTCTGCCGTCTGTGCTGTTTTCACATATATATTCTGTGGAAAGATCCAGGAGTCTAAACCCTCCTCTGTCCTGTGCTCTCTGCAGCTCCAGGTGGAAACGCCCCAGGACCTGGACCAGCCCCCGGGCCACAGATGCCAGGACAGCCAGGTAACCAGAGCTAGTGCTTTTGTTTTTTTTGTTGCGTTTTATCATTATTCATTATTATTGCTGATTTACTGTTATTATATACTTGGACTTTTTCAGGCATTATTTACTCTTTCTAACTCACAACCTAGCCAGGCTGGCGCCACCTAGTGCCTCCACTCAATTTTATTTCTCTCCAGCAACTAGGTCAGGAATCAAAATACAATACATAGTTTGCAAAAACCCCAGAAGTTCAAGTTGGGTCACCAGCCAGTCAGCAAAGAGCCAGACATTCAGTGTTGTCAATGATTCCCGAGATCGAGAATTTAAAGCCGGAATAAAGAGAATATTTGGTGAATTTCATCAAGGGGAAAGACTTTATTGTCCTTCTTCCTACGGGGTTTGGGAAAAGCTTAATATACCAGTTAGCCCCGTTAGCAGCGCATTACATACATCATGACCAAATAGCAGTGATGGGTTAAATGATAAAAAGTACCCGCCTACCATCAAGCAAACGAATTCTAAGGCTGCAAGGTCAGACTGTATGTACGAAGTGAAACGAAGTAAAACCAGCTGATGAGTCAGGCTATTCACAACCTCCTTTGTTGTTTAATTTTGTTTCAGTCTTAAAATATATTTAAACTACAACATTAATGGTTATTAATAGTTATGAGCACACTGGGGGTGTGTACGTGTATGTGTATTTTTAGGAGCCTGTGATCAATAAGAGCCTTCATTCTGTTTAGGCATTTCATTTTCAACAAAAAGGTGAGAGTGACTAACAATAAAATTAACAATAAAATAATTAATGGGTTGGGGTCTAGTAATTACAGTGTTCTAATAATTACAGTGCAGAATTTCTCTTCACAGATAAACAGTCTGTTGATGTAACACATTTCTAGGGTTCGAAGATCAGATACTAATTTACACAAAAATGTATATCAAAACCTGATACTCTTTTAAGCAGGTATCAATACAAAAAATGATCTTGGCTGTATCAGTATAAGAGTTCAAGTGCACATAGACTAGTATATGCCCATGGACCACTATGGAACCTACCTGGACCACTGAGGATTACACACATGGGAATATAAAAGAAAGCACTACCATTTAATTGAAAATCACATTCTATTGTCTAAATGAAGAGTGCTTTTTTAATGTATGTTATTTATTTGTCTATTTCTTAATATGGAAATAGAGTTTGAAATGTTGGTATTGTTTGTGACACCTCTACCAATTCCAGTTTGCTGTGTTTTTTTAAAAGTATATCATTTAAAAGATATTTACTGTCCAGACTGAATCACTGAATACTGTGTCCATGTCTCTTTGTTCCCGTCAGGACCGCTCCCTCAGGACTTCATGCGTAACCTGATGCAGCAGATCAGTCAGTACGCCGCAGCCGTAGCCACCAGCGCTGCCACTGCTGCCGCCACAGGACAAACAGCGCCCCCTACAGCCGCCCCAGGGCACAACACCACTCCCACCTCCACCCCCGCACCTCCTCCTCCGTCTGCCCACGGAACACCTCCTCAGCCCAGGGTCGTGTTCGGCAGACCGCCCTTCCCTCCAAACATGCCCCCTCCAGCCTTTGGGACCAGAGGAACCACCATCAACGTGAGGGCTGCCATGCCGGGACAGCAGCCCGGACAGGTACAAAACTAAGGACTGTTATATGTGATGGCTGTTCTTATTGTGGGGTGTTGAGGGGGACTATTCTTAGAAGGATCATGATTCTACATCTGGATCAATTCTAAAAATCACTTTGATTGTTTTCTAAACTCCGCCAAGGCACCTTAAACCTTGTTTCCACAGGCATGGTTTGCTTGAGGCCGCTCTAGACCGCTCTGGAAGGTAGTACCTCCAGCAGTCTGCTTTGGACACTAAAAGGGGGCCACATGGAATGCTTTACACATTGGAAGCACTCGGAGTCCGTGCCATGTCGTTCCGTCCCATACCAGCACTATGGAAATGTCATGCTCTAAAATACATTTTGCATGAAGACATTTTTAAAACGGGGAACTTCAAATATTTAAAATACAATATTTTCCTCTTGCCACTCACCAAAAACATGTCATGAACCCCTTTAAAGCCAGAATGAAATATTTGACTTGAGAATAGCCCACATTACAGATGATGTCACAACTTTAGACAAACAAACTGGCACATACTGGCTTTTGTTTTTTGTTTGGTTTTTCTAAGAGGATATCCCATAATGTCACAGTCGATTTTTATATTTTAAAAAAATGTTTTTGCTTTTGAATGAAGAATCATTTTGATTTTGATTTTCGAATCAAGACGCCAAAAATAGAAATCAAATTGAATCACTCGGCACTTTAAGAATCACACTTAAAGATTCATAGTCTAGAATTTAGTCATGATCACAGGCCAGAGTGAGGGCAGCGGTCACATCTCTATGGGCAGTAAAATCCTCAAATGTGGAACCTAATAATAATTTCACACAAAATCAACTTCATGCTCAGCTTTCCTCCTGGTTACTCTTAGTTAAGTGTTGATTTTGCTCCACAGGCCTTTAACCCTGCAGCTCTGAACCAGATGATCAGTGGACTGGTGGGACAGCTGCTGCTGCCTGGACAAATGGGTAAATTAACTCTCTTCAGCTTTGGTCCCTCATGTTTATTTAAGCAAAGGGAACAAGGAGGAAAAGTAGTGGGAGATAATGCTGATGTTGCTTTGCCTTACCCCTTACCAGTATGACCCCATATCATTTCCCATGAATGAAAGATTAGCTTTTCGTAGTTGTCATAGTTTCTTGGTTTAGTTCTTTCCACACAAAGACAAATGTAACACAGTGTTGCTTTAAATCTTCTTTCTCCTCGTTCACAGCTGGACAGTCAGTCACCTCCTCCACCTCCTCCACCACCTCCACCAGTTCCTCCTCTACCTCCACATCTTTCTCCACCACCACCTCTTCATCCTCCTCTTCTTCCTCCTCTTCTTCCTCCTCTGGCTTCACTGCTGGAGCTCCTAACCAGCCTGATCCTCCGTCTGCTCCCTCCGCGCCCCCTCCTCAGCCCCAGGACCTGCCTCCAGACCTGGGCCAGCTGCTGGGCTCTCTTCTGGGCATGGCCGGAGGAGCCGCGGGGCCCATGGGTGCTCCCTCCATCACAGTGACCACCTCCGGAGTGCCAGCCTTCATTCAGGGCGTCAGTGACTTCATGCAACAGGTGGGTCCAAGGCTAGAGCTTATAATACTGCAGTGGTATATCAAGTCTATTCCTCAATGATGCAATCGACTTTGAAATGTTATATTGTGACATCACGACTGTATGAGTTTAGAAGTGAAACATTACAGCCTTTTCTGTACCAGAACAGTACTTGGTCTTTCAGTATCTTACTTATTTGCCCACATCTACTGAGTTTTTTTCACTGATGATTGTGTCATATCTGATTGGACAATCAGCTCCATATCCAACATTTGGAATCAATACTTGATACAAAACATTTTTCCACAGCTGAGCCAATACGGATATATTATATTGTGGCTGGTATCAGTGCATTCGTGCTGCTGTGTGTTACACTGGGATCAATCTTTAATGTACAAATCAGAAGCATCTTTCATGTATGGACAGATATTTCCTTTTGTTCAAGTCTCTGTAGAAATCTGAACCATGTCATTATTCCAACAGCTATATATACTGTAAATATACAGTAGCTTTATCAATACAGATTCATTCATCACTCCACACTTAATAGTCACTTAAGTTTATGTTGTGCGACTTTTGTTGCCTCATCTGCCCTGGGGCAGACTGAGAGCATATACATGGTTTAAAACAACTCTTTACCTTTGCTATTTCTTACTCTAGAGCTTAAAATAGTGTGTCCGTTTAGACCAGGGGTGCTGACACTTTTTCAGCGTGCGAGCTACTTACAAAATGACCAAGTCATAATGATCGACCTAATACAAAGCCAAGCAAACTGCACTGAAACATTCTGTGCCCCTTTTTTTGGACCCTCACCCACAGTTTGAGAACCGCTTCTTTAAGAGAACTTCCTCTGGCACTTTACACAAAACTGTGAAAAAAGTGAAGAAAGATTTTTAAATCTGTTTTTTAAAGTTCCAAACTGGAGTTACATTCTTTTCTGGTTTTGCAGTGATATTTACCAGCCTCTGCACGTTTACCAAACCAAACGCACATCGTGACAAACACAGAAGCATTTGTGCACTTTTGTTAGACAAACTTCAGCCAAATGTGGCAGTAGGTCTGTTCTGTAGATCTGCTCTATGCTGTAGACCTGCTTTGTGCCAACACTGGAACACAAATTTAGACTGGTTTTTGCTTCACGTTTGGTCTTGCTCTTCTAATCAGCGCGCACTGTGGGAGGGGCTTGTGTTCGCTGTACGCAGGAAGGAGCGAGAGCGTGAAAAGGCGAGGGGCGGCGTGCTGACGTGAGGCAGATGGACAGGTAGGATGTTTAGGAAGTTGAACCTGCCCTGTGATGCCCGCTGGTACACGAGGGCACACGCTGTTGCAGACGAGCCGTGCATAGGGAGCGTGTGTATTTGTGATGTGCCGTAGAGTCTCTGCGGGTTTCAAATGAGCGCACAGACTGCAATGAGACGCCCCACACACTCCTGCACCCGCTACAAGTTTATTGCCAACAGCAGCGGCCGTAATGAAATATGATCGCACTTGTTGAGTGTCAGACGTCGAGTGAGAGACAAGACCGAGTCCAAACACGAGTCCGAGACGAGACACGGTGATCTACCCACACGACCTTGGCGATCGACTGGTAGATCGCGATCTACGTATTGAGCAACCCTGGTTTAGACCATCAAAAATGTATGTATCTTCAGCAGATGGAGCAAGGCTGTTATACAATGTTTGTAAATGATTCTCATGTAATTATGTTTATCTGAATTAGATGCAAAGTTGGCACTGTCTATTAAGATAGCATAGTCCCTGACTGCTTGAGTTTAGGCCTGTCACGATAAATACTACATGGACTTATCGTTCAGTACATGACTGATCAGTCAAGAATTTTTGGGGGTCAAGTATTTTTGGGGTATCTTTTTGTTTGTTTTTTTTACTTTTCTGAATTCTAGAACTGTAGAGGGCTGAATAAATTACTTCTATGAATCATTAAGCGTTTGATTGTATTGGAGTTCATGTTCATCAGTAATATTGTACATAGAGTTTTTAGGTGGATAATCCTGCTTTTGCGTTGCCGTGTCAGTGACATCATGGCATTCTGTATTATGGTTTTCTTATTTTATTTATATTGTACTTGAAAATTATAGTGACAAGTCTCCTTAAGTTTACTTGTTCATTCCTTTTCTTCCTGTTGTCTTTTTCAGGCGTCCCAGCCGGTGTTCACCCCTCCCCCCTCTGCCGCTTCTGGCCCGGCCCCCACAGCGCCCCCCACTGGTGCTCCTGGTCTGAGCCCCGGGGCAGAGGGCTTGAACCCGGAGCTGTTCACGGGGATCCTGGGCGGAGTGCTGCGGACCATGATGGGCTCTTTGGGACAGAACCAGAACGACACAGAAAGCATTGCTCAGTTTATGCAGCGACTGTCCCAGGCCACCAACATCTTCATCAGCCCCGAAGACCCCTCTGGTGATGAAAGCTTACAATAAACTACAACTTCACAAACCTGATGCGACGTGCTTTAGTTTCATTAGCACGATGTACGATGATTGTGTCGTGATAGTGCTCTAAAGTGAAATCCATTCAACATTACAAATACAAATACAGCATTTTCAAGACAGTAAATGGTACCGTGCTGATCTAAATATGTGTGTTAGCAGTTCATAAATGTAATAGCCCCTCTTTAAACAGTTCTGAAAGTAATTCTTTAGATTTGGTTTAGTTCTCACCTGGTTTGAGAATGGCTTATGGGCTTTATTTGGTCAGATTCTGCTTAGTTCAGTTCTGTTTACATTTCAATCTCAGGCATAAACAGTATATTAACAGAATATTTTTACATAAATAAATTCCCTTCATGAGTGTATTGTTTTACTCTATGTGTGGTCAGGTTTCTTTGGGGAGCTCCTGATGTTGGTATGTCAGACCTTCACTATGTCTGACCTTGTTCTTCTGCTGCACGGACAGCACCAGCCTCTGGGCCGGATCCAGCCTCAGCTCGCACAATTCTTCAGACAGAACTACCTGAACGGCCGTGAGCCCACTGAGCAGAACATATCTGTAAGTAATTGGAAATAATACATAAGTGGTTGGAATCAGATTTGCAATTTATATGTTAATACAATTCTGCTCAAAGTTCATATTACAAACACAAAGAACTGACTAAAAGAGTGAAACATGAACTGACAAACTAATACAAGAATCACATTTCAGAACATGTTTGTACAGATCTAAGCTGCAGTCGTAGCAGTTTTTATGCAAAGTAACACAGGACTGTTTGTTGTTGGTGGAGCAAATGATGGTGGGGAAAAAAGCTTGGATGTGTGTTAGATAGAAAAGCTCTAGATCACAATCTGACCATATGAATAAAACAGCACAAAATGAACAAATGTTATTCTTTATTCATATCTTTTAAATGTCTTTTTCAGGAGGCTGCTGAAAGTTTAATAAACGAACTGGAGGATTACATCACTGAAAGCTTTGTAAGTTAAAAAAAATATAATCCATTTTCTTTAGTTTGCTCTGTGCTCTTTAAAATTCCACTTGAACTTCAGTGTGTTCAGAGTGTTATAATAATGTATGAAACTAAACCCTTGAACACTAGAGTATGTGCTATATTTTTGTCTATCTGTTTTCCAGAGAGAGTCGTCTGTGTCGGTGCTGGATGGAGTCGATGCCACTCAGACAAACATGGCCTTCTTCAGACAACAGCTGAGACAGATCGCTACACACATCCTCCACTGCACAGGTACATAACCCACACACATGCACAGCACAGGTACAATACACACATGTATACACACACACACACACACGCGCGCACGCGCGCGTGCAGCACAGGTACAATACACAGAATGCGGTTGCTATTTGCTGCTATTTGAGTCTGGTTTACCAAAGGTAATTCTCTGTTGTTGTTGTTGTTGCTGTTGTTGTTGTTCCAGATGAGAGTTTCGGGCCCCGGCTGCTGCAGATGTGTAACTCTGCACTGTTCCAGTGTTTGGCTCTGAACCTGTTCTGTCTGAGAGGAGACCAGCACGCCCTCACCGCCGTCATCAACCACCGCATCGTCAGTGTTCTGAAACACACAACTACCACTGTACTTAAACCCATGTGTAACAGCTGTGTGATCCACAGAGACGCATGTCCAGTGACATCAGCCCCAGCCTGGTCAACTGGATGACCAGTATGATGAGCATGAGGCTGCAGGTGATTCTGGAGAACATCCCTGTGCCCTCAGAGCAGATCCAGCAGTACGTCGTCTACACACAGGTTTGTGACAGAAGGTTCTCTTATGGAGTTGGACCCGAGGGGTCACACACGCACACACACCCCACACACCCACACACCCACACACACACACACACACACACCTTCAGGTCCAATATCGCACACTGGGTCAGAACTAGGGATGCAACGATATGGTTTTCCCACGATTCGATACGTATCTCGATATATGGGTCACAATATCTATTTGATTTCGATATATTTTAAGACGCAAAAAAATCTCATGTAATTTTTTCTGCTAATGAAAATATAATAACACCATGATATTAATGAAGCATTACACACAATACATTACAGTAGAACTAGTGTACAGTTGTAGTTTATATGTGTGCATAAGTGTTTTAGTTTATTCGGTTCAGTGATTTACAGCTCAGCATTTTTATTCAGTGAAAATAAGAACAGAGCTTTCTCAGGCTGTTTTATATTTTATAATATACCAGTCTACTCTAAATATAGACTATAGGGGAGCTACACTATCAGACTTTTCCTTTTTGATGATGATTTGATGATTTCTTTTCCTCCTGAGTGTGTCTCTCCTCTCGGCGCTGCTCTGCCTCCTCGAGCAGAGACCTGCCCTGTTATAGTCTGTCACATACAGCGCTCTCCCATCTTCTTTTTGGACACTCAAACTTTGTTATATTACATAGAAATGTCTCAACAGACTGTTTTCTGAGTAAACCTGAGATAGTCTAAGAAATAGATCGTGTATATTGTGAGTCACGTCGTGGATGTGTGTATGAGCACATTTGATTAAAGCCGATGTAAATTCAAAAGCCATTCTAAAGTATTTAAAACTTCATATCTTTGCCATTCCTGGAGTTATCAACGTAAAATTAAAAAGTGACTGAAAGATAAATTCACCTCTGTAAGTCCCTGAGAAGAACCTGCGATAATTTTTTCACTTTTGGACCAAAATAAATGACAACACAGTACATAGCAACACCAGTATTGAATTGCGAGACCAGTATCGAATTATTTGATATTATATCAAATATTGTTGCTTCCCTAGTCAGAACAGTGAGACTTATCTACAAGAGCAGATAAGTAGGTGACAGTGAGGAGCTGACTACTGCAATGTCCTTTCAGTGAGTTAGTAGAGTATTAGATAAATTAGGCTATTTAAAAATCATGCATAAATGTGTTATAGTAAAGAAATTGTCTAATATAATATATAATAATATATACATTATTATTATTACTCTTGCTGTAAAAGCACCACTAGAGAAACATTAAAAGACTGAGCAGATAAGCAGTATTGATAAGAGTAGAAGTATTGATAAATCCTTAATGAGACACGTTCTTAATTTCTACACACAGGTCTGTTACATGGACTTATATTTTATATGGATTTTGATGGATTGCAACATGATTTTCTGTTTATTAGAACTCCTCAAAACATGTATCAGGTTCCCTTTCCCTTATAGTTTAAACTAAAATACACTAGGGGGCAGAATGTCACTGGTGTCTCACTGTTCTAATCTAACCTTTGTTATTTACTGGCCTCATTCATTTTGATTAAAACTATTCTGAAATGATTCAGAAATATTAATGAAGAAATAATACGTGCATCTGCAAAACTATAATGTGTCCCTCCCCTAAATTACCCTGACAATGTGTCCGTGGGCAAGGCACTTCTCACCTACTGAGCCTCTGTGATGGCAGGTGCGTCTCATGTGTCTCAAAGCTCATGAATTTTAAATGTTTTCAGAGAGATCATCCTTCAGCCTCAGAGCCTCCGGAGCAGGGCCCAAGCGCCACGGTGAGTTTAACTGCGACTAGAACTAGGACTAGAATGGGACTAGAACCACAACCAGGATTATGAAGGAGTAGAAGTGGGACTAGAACTGGATTAGAACTGGACTAGGACCAGGACTAGAACTAGGACTAAAACAAGGACTGTTAACCAGGACTCTTAACCAGAACTATTAACCAGGATTATTAACCAGGACTCTTAACCAGAACTATTAACCAGGACTATGACCAAGATTATAAACGGGACTTTGAAGGATGAGAACCAAAACTAGATCAGAGCTACAATTTCCATTTAGCGTTAAATATGCTGTAAAAGTATTTTATTTAAAAATGTGAAAAACAGAACTTGTTATTTCTTTGCAGTGGTCCAGTTATGGTCCGAGTTAGTCTAAGTTACCGTATGCATACAGAGCATCCTAATTATTCACCACAATGACTTTATAAGTGCTTTTCACAACTTTCAGAGGCCAGAGAGGAGTTTTGCCTTGAGTATAGCTAACAACAGCTAGCATGTTAACGCACACTTCCTGACTCTTGGACACAAAAGCAGTTTATAATCAGATGCAGACAGCAGGCAGTGGACTTACTCTCACCTCAAGAGCTGCTTTCACGATATGTCTACTGGGGAAGACTCACTGAGCTCAAATCATTGTTGTTGTTCTTTTGTCCAGGCGGGGGACACTCTGTCTCCGGCCGCCGCCACCACAGCCGAGGAGGCCATGTCTGTCGCTGAGGAAACCATGCCCATTGCCCGGGAGACGGCGCCATCGTCACGGGAACACAGGCCATTACCGAGCGACCTGGGAGCGACGGGAGGGGCTGGTCCTTTGGGGGGCGCTGTGCCGCTCGGAGCAGAGGGAGGGAGAGAGGAGTCTGAGGCCTGGGCTGCAGCTGTGCCACCGGTCAGTGACTCTCTAGTGTTTAATTCAGGAAAAGATTAGTTAAGTGGTCATTTGTGAAGAAAAGTAGAAAAAAAAAGTAGAAAAACCTCTGCCTATGTCATCACCTGCCATCTTCATCCAAAATGCTGAGACGATTTACACACAAGGAAATTTACGCACATTTTTCTCACATTGTAAAGATGCACTATGTAACTTTTCGACTGGGGGGGTCCGTCACCGGCTTGTTTCTGTGGTTATGTCATTGCTCTGCCTGGAATGTTCCACAGTATGACATTAAACATCTCTACCTTAACATTTAATCAATTATATAGCTCAGAAAAACCTACAAAAACAGGCATTCTGACTGTGAACAGGGTCGCCTCTCCACAGATATGAACTGTAACTTGGTCTGGTTTGGTATTTATGAAGATAGAAAGTTTTAATGCCATACTGTGGAACATTCCAGGCAAAGCAATAACATCTCCATGGAGAAAAGTAGGGCTGAGCGTTATGGAGTAAAAAATATATCTCAATATATACTGTATTTGCTATATCTCAATATCTGTTTTTGCAGTCGTTTTTGGGTAGTTATTTTTCCTGTACATATAGGCCAAATTCCACAAGGTCGTTTTTATTGAAGTGCAAAGAGGTAGGCAGCTCAATGAGCTTCTGCGATACTTTAAAAAAATATCTATGTGAACAAAAATAACAATTTAACTGTAAAAAGGAAGAAATAATACATATTGACTTCTTTCCATTAAAAAATAAAACAACTCAAGGTAGGCATTTCATATAGGAACAAAGTGCTTCTGTGACATTTAAGATTACAAAAAAATCCCTGATTTACATAAATAATAACAATTTAACTGTAAAATAAAATAAATAATCAATGCAGCGTTGGCAGTGATGCAGTCGCTGTATCAAACCGTTGTGGTGAAGAGAGAGCTGAGCCAAAAGGCAAAGCTCTTCAATCTCCGTTCCTCCCCTCACCTATGGTCATGAGCTCTGGCTAATGACGAGATCACAGATATGAGCGGCCAAAATGAGTTTCCTCCGCAGGGTGGCTGGGCAGGGTGGCTCCTTTAGAGATAGGGTGAGGAGCTCAGTCACACAGGAGGAGCTCAGGTTAGAGTAGATGCGCCTCCACGTCGAGAGGAGCAGCTGAGGGGAGGACATCTGTTCCGGATGCCTTCTGGATGCTTTCTTGAGGAGGTGTTCCGGGTATGTCCCACCGGAGAGATGCGCAGAGGAAGACCCAGGAAACACTGGAGGGACTATGTCTCTCAGCTGGCCTGGGAACACCTTGGGGACCCCCCAGAGGAGCTGGAGGAAGTATCAGGGGTGAAGGAAGTCTGGTAGTCCCTGCTTAGACTGATGCCCCCGCGACCCGGCCCCGGATAAGCAGCAGAAAATGGATGCATGGATAAAAGAAATAATACATATTGCCTTCTTTTCATTCAAAAGTAAAACAACTCAACTCAACTTTAAAACACTTACTTAACAAACTAAAGGTGTTGACTGTTATTATTAGTCAAATCTGTACATTTTCACACAGTTTTGGCACTCTTCATGGGACTCCTTAAATGTTACCGGGTGGGATCATGTGTTTTGTCTGTGTGTTTTCAGGAGTGGGTGCCCATCATTCGCTGTGACATGATGACTCAGAGGAAGATCAAGTCCCAGCCTCCTCTGTCTGATGCCTACCTGCAGGGTATGCCCGCCAAGAGGAGGAAGGTAACTACGGCCACAACTATTACCGCTGGCGACTAGGCTGCCATAGCGAGCCCACTGACCCCTGCATTCCAAACAGGGAGTGAGCATGGGCACGATTTGGCTCTATTGACCCTCGTTCTAATTGACTTTCTATTGAAAAACCATGTTCCTGTCTGTAAGTGCTGCTGTCAGGCTTACATTCTGATTTTAAAATGTTCCTTTTGACCCACTCTACATGATCTTATTTCATTATTTGGTCTGTAAATCAAGATATGAACATTAGTAACGGTTTCCGCCTTTGATAAGAGTGCAAACAGCACACCTGGGTCTGATTTTCCCATTAAACAAAATGCCTTTTCCTTGTAAAAGCAGATAAAAAGCCTGTATAATGTTTGATATCTAAATGTTGTGTTTGTGCTGTAGACCGGACAGGGCAGTGGGAGCCTCCTCTCTCTCTCTGACGCTGTGTCTCAGGCTGCCCGCTCCGCCGGCGTCCGACCAATCACCTCCTCCGAGAGACTGCAGAACGACCTCGACGCCGACGAGCTGCGAGAGGCCTACTCTGAACAGGTGAGGTCAAAGGTCACTCTGAACAGATGGGGTCACACCGTGGATCTATATTAAGAACTGGGTAAGACACTCCTCATTGCTCCTGGTACTGCAGCTCTCAGGAGTTCCAGCCCAGAAAGAATTCTCTCGTAGAACACAATGGGCCTCATTCATGAATCTTTTCTTAAAAATGTTCTTAACTGACACTTAAAGAAGATGCTGAGAGAACTCTGTGCCAGATTCACGAAACGTTCTTAAGCAGATAAATTCATTCTTAAGTAACAGTGACGATAAATTCACCAACACTGAGCTACAAACACCACAGTGCTCATTTGCAATTCATTTACACAGAAAATGTATCTGTATTTAGTTAAAAACACTCTCTGACTTCCAAATATGGCCAATATGGGTTTGGTAGTATGAAAGATCGAGGGAGAAAGTGATGAGGAGGTCAGGTGGAGTGTCTACAGACTACGACTGTTTTACAGATTCAGCGCAGATTTCAAATGTCCAAACTGACATGAACACACTCAGGGAGGAAGATTTAAGCTGTAAACTTATTAAAATAAATGGGCACTTTTATCATATTTATTGCTGACCTGCGGTAAACAGCGAGGGGGGCTGGGGTGGAGGTGTGTAAGAGTGTGCTCTGGTCATGGGGGGTCCTGGGGGGGTCAGTGGGGTGATGTTGGTGTTGACCAGGCTGTGACAGAGGCCCATAAGGAGGCACTGGCGCTGGGACAGACTGAGGCTCACTGCAGCCTGGAGAAAGTCTGTTAGACCCAATAGACACAGGTTCTAGAAAACTCCTCAGAAATGTTACTGGATCACACAGTCATATGTTTATAGGAAATAATTGAAGAAAATATATCACATACAATCATAGAGGAATTTGAATCGTTTGCTGAATTATCAGAATAATAATATTCAAAGACAGTACAAGTTTTTGTTCTTACAAGTGCTCCTGACTGCTCCTGTTCGTAGGATTTGTTCTTTCAGACGAACATTGTCAGTTAAGAAAAAGGTTTGAATGAATGAATGAATGAATGCCACAAATGTTTGTAAAGAAGGCTTTAGTTTCGAATTTGTTCATGAGAATGTTTCATGAATGGGGCCCATTGTATTTTTTGGGAATTTAAACTGCCCGTGTTTGGCTGGAGGGTATCCACAAGTTTCACAAAGGTCAGGTTTTATAAGATTCCTTTCTATTTTCAGAATATGAACTCTTTAGATATGTAAATGTTTTAAGTCCTCAGAGCTAAAAATGAGCTTTGTAAGATTTAGCCTAACCCCCTCTGTGTGCATTCTGAGCGCTGGCTCCACTCCAGCAGTGTTCATAGATAATGGACCTATTTAAAACTTGCTAGATCCGACCGGTGGTGAGTTGGAAAATGGTCAGTCCACTATGTTAACTACGCAGCAATAGAACATATTTTCCCCATAGAACATAATGTAAAAACAAACTGCCTGTGTTCAGGATTTTGTTTTCATATCATAAACTTTATCTGAGCTCAAAATCCTTCAGATGTCCATGTGACCCTGCATTATTGATCTGTTTACATCTCCAAAGCTCAAAATGCCCTGTCCCACCTAGTGATGTCATCAAGCTGTAGTTTTTAAGTTAACAGCTCCTTTTTACCTTTTGTTGAGTACAGAGCTTCAGTCATCCAAATGATTCTCATGAAGGTGTATGGAGTTTAAAAACACAGTGGTAGGGAGTGTTTTCTGTATGAGAGGAAACTCGAGCTAAATGTGCAGGGATTGTGTGTAAAACATGTGTGACTGAAACAAAACTCCAGGGGCCTCATTTATAAAAAACTGCGCAGGAGTTGTCGTAAGTGAGTGTGTACTCCTAGTAGCTACGAGACACCACGCAAACTCCAATTTTGGAAAACCCACCGCACGCACTAAACCACACAATCTGTGCTTTAAAAATCCCACCTGCAGCTAGAATCAGCACACGTCACGTCACGCCCTCTCCACACCTCCACCTCACCATAAAAGGAGCATGTAAAGTGACTGGTGAATGAGATTTCCCTAAACATGAGCTGATAATCAGTGGGTTTGACCGAGACACGCGGGACAGACGGAGGAGGACGCTCCACGCAGCACCACGTGATCACGACAAACACTTAAACAAGGTTTAACAAATAAATACAAAACTAAACGTGATAACAACTCATCTGTTCATTTAATCATATTTCATATTTAGGCAGCACATCTTTGCATTAAAGCCAGTGTGTTTTTAAGTCTATTAAAAGTCCACACGAAACATCCAAACTGCTCAGACATTATTGTGATATTATTAAACCAAAAAAGCTCTTGTGCTCCGTCCGAGGGAAGAGTTTTGTCTCAGGTCGGGTCATTAGTTCGTCCTCTCTGTTGGGTCACAGTCTGTGTTCTGTAGAAGTCTATGATCGCGGTGTGGACTGCTGGAGACCCTGTGCTGCACCGGGAACGTGGCCGCGCTTGTGCATGTCTAATATTGTAGGGAATAATGAGTGGAATAAACAGCCTTTCTCCGTGTTTTGATGAACCAAACACTTAAAATGTACAAATCTGAAGGTAATTCTTTTATATACATGGATTTTCTGATGAATTCTTGATCAAACTCTTCCTCAAACTGTCTTCACGTCTCGCTTCTCTCCACGAGTGTTGCTTTTTCCCCGTGTCTCCAGACTTTGCGTAGTGGTTACAGGAGGTCCCGAGTTGGCATAGAGTTAAGCAAAGTGCCACTCTTCGTTGGTCAGATTGGTCACACGGTCCCCTCGCTCACACACCAGCCTAATGTTCTGTGTGTCTCTGTTTCAGGTGAAGTCTGATTTGAAGAAGAGGATTCGCGAGGACCCAGATTTCAACTCCCAACAGTTCCCAAACTCGCACAGAGCCTTTTCCCCAGACTCCTAACACTTATGAATCCGGGCCTCCGATTGGTCGCCTATAAATGATGTCATCACATTCTCAAAGTTCATTGTCCTCTGTCAGTATAAATCACCTACGTAATACTTTTTTTTTCATTTGCTTCAAAATAATGTGTCACTTTTCAATCAGGTGAAATGATAGATCGCTGACAAGAGGCGCGCTGTGACTTGTGTGTGTGGCGGCTGCTAGTTTCCATGCAGATGTTATTACTACGCGTGGAAAGTTTCAACGTATTGGTATTTTATATTTTATTGGAAAAATGCATTCTTACTGTGAGCTGAGTCTCCTCTTCACAGATCTGACCAGTAACATGGCCTCTTGGCGTTACCTTGCTTGTGTCAGTGAAGCAAATTTAATACCATACTTAGGAATATTCACGGCAAAGCAGCATAGTGTGGTCATGATACTGAAATTACAAACTCGATCTTGATTTCTTTTTTAGTATCGATACCTGCTCAAATGAGTATCTAATTTCTAGTTTCAGTATTAATTCGTTTCTGGTTTTCGATATTTTGACAACCCTAAATTGTTAGTAATATCTCCATGGCAACGATGAGCAGGCGGCGGACCCCAGAGGTGGGGGACTTGCATGTTGTGACATGGACTCGAGTCAGACTTGAGTCACTATTTTTAGGACTTGACTTGATAAAATAGACAAAGATTGGGACTTGACTCGGACTTGAGCCCAGTGACTTGGAAAGACTTGATGATTCTCCTAAAAAATATATTTTTAGGAAAGACTTTTCTCTTTACAGTTGATAAATGCAGCACTTCATTTTACAGAAACAAACTGGAACATGTCCCTCCCACTTCTGTTTGTTACTTTAGATGTAACTGAAGTACTGTGATGTGTATCATCAAATGTACTACAGTAATGTACAGTACAACACAGTAATGTACAGTACAATACAGTAATGTACAGTACAATACATGTACAGTAAAACAGAAGGAACTACATAGAACATGATCCTTCCATTTCAGTGCAGACGACTTGACAAAATAACTTGTTAAACACTTTTACATCTGAATTCTTTCTGTTCTGACTGTAATGATTTGCTCTCTTGTCAAGACATTAAAAAAGGAAAAATGGCATTTCTACAACTCGTATATAAATACTCAAATACCATGACTTTTTAAGTACAATTTAGTTTAAAATTCATATAAATTGCATAAATCTAAGCTTATATTTGGTACTTTTTTGGTTTAAAGACTCGAAATGACCCGAAGCTCAAAGCAGAAGACTTGGACTTGACTTGGACTTATGAGCCAGTGACTCGAGACTGGACTTGGACTTGCCTGTATTTGACTTGGGACTTGACTCGGACTTGAAATCAAAGACTCGAGACTCGCAAAACAAAGACTCGGCCCCACCTCTGCCGTACCCTCATTCTGAAAAGTTACACAGTGCATCTTTAAACGTCAAGTAAGTGAGTTTGTGAAGCCAATCAAACGTAATCATGATAGGACATTTGATTTCTTCCAAACATTATGCTTCAGCCATAGATTTCTCAGATTACACACACATTTTAATTTGTTTTTTCCCGTTCCTCACCTGTGCCTCTCCGCTGCTTGGTCCTGTTCTGTTCAGTGCATATTTATTTTAAAGGGCTCATATTACACTATTTTCTGATTTACGTTACAATGTTGTTTCCTCATCGCAAACATACCTGGAGTTTTGGTTCATTCACAAACAATTAACACCCAAATCCTGCATATTTAGGCTGAGTTCTTCTCTTATACAAGAGGTTTTCCACACACCTTCACTAGAATCATTTGAATCATTTTAGCCCTGGAATTGCCGATCTCTACTGAACATCACAAGGTGGAGCAGAGCGTTTTGAGCTTTGGAGATGCAGACAGACTAATAATAAAGTGTTACTCAGACGTGTGAATGAAACAAAACACAACTCCAGGTCTGTTTTTGAGGAGGGAACGACATTCTAACTTGGTCTATTAAAGCTCACGTGAGTCAAGTTTGTGTAATATAGAACCTTCAAGCTTTCGTCTCGTCTCAGCTCCTCTGTGTCCATGAGTCAGTGTTGTTTTTTTCGTTTTATTTGACTTTCTACGTTTTTGCCTTTTTCTCACGAAAGCACGAGTGGAGTTCTGAATATTTGCTACATGAATGTACAGTACGCAATAAAACCTTGATACACAAAGAGACGGTGCGTGGTTTTTATTTTGAGGAGTTACACTTTTGTCTTTTAACTCACTTTTAACTTTCAAGCGAATCATCTGTGTGTTACGTCTCGAGCGCTATGTAGGTGTGACTCATTACTGCCAACTTCTGGTAACGAATCACATTGCACTATGTTATATCTACCGTATTTCTGCACTATAAGGGGCACTGTCATTAAATGGTCTATTTTAGAACTTTTTTCACAAATAAATCGCACTGGACTTTAAAGGAAACACAACAGTTACTATATTTTCCGGATTATTAGACGCGCTCTTAAGCCTCTAACTGCATCAAAAAACAACCACGTGCCACAATCCAGAGCGCCCTGTACACAAATCCACTCGGGTGTCCCAGCACGACTTCAGTAAACTACAAAGCCGCACCACCTGCAGAACACACAAACACACACGGAGCAGACAGCGACCACACAGCCAAAAACACCCACAGACACACTCATCACTCCACGCCGACGAGGAACGGAACAGAGGAACGAACTGAAAAAAGCGAGTGCGATGTGCCTTTTTGAGTCACAACTGAACAACCGAGTCACTGCAAACACGCCGACAATCCGCTGGTCCCAGACAACACCCTCCCTACACGCCACAACTCACCCATCACACTGTTGGGTTTTATTTAAAGTCCAGTGCGGTTTATTTGTGAAAAAAGTTCAAAAATAGACCATTTAATAACAGTGCGTCTTATAATCTAGACCTGGCCCCAATGAAAGATCATGAAAACCTGGACATTTCCATCACTTTATGAAAAAAAACAGATGTTTGGTCACCATAAGTAACTCCTCTTGAGAACTGTAATACCAAAAAACACTGCTACAATCACAGCAAAACTATAACATTAAAAACAGCAAAAAATGTGACGCAAAAATGAAATGATGAACTGAACGACACAATTTATTGCTAAAAAATGTATCAAAATCTCATCTCGTCTCGATCTCGTGGACTGAATCTCGACTCGTAGAAATCGTATCTTGCCCCATTCCTATTAATTTAGTGATCTCTCCGATGCAAAACTGAACACGACTTCACAAACCCGACGCGATGTGCAGTAAGTAGCCTTCGCTAAAACGAAATTGAAACTTCTAAAACGTATTATAAAAAGCATTTTCAGAAGAATAAATAGTATTATGGTGATCAAAAATACGTTGTGTTAGCAGTGAAAACGCCACAAAAGTCAAATTTATTTTCTCAAACTGGTTTCGCAGCCTCGGGACCATAAAGAGTGGACTTCCTGTTTTAGATCCTGCTCAAGTCACGCAACCAAACTAAACCGACTCATCAGCTTTATCTTCACCGAGTAACAATAAAAACGTGTTCACTTTACACAGTCTGATAGTAATCTTCTGAAGAAACTGCCATGTTTGTAGTTCATTTCTTTTTAATGGGATGACAAACAGATAAAGAGTGTCTGTGTTTGTTCAAGGAGCGGTTTCACACTCTCACAAAATATTGACTTAGCGCTGGGCTCAGGTTTTTGGGCTCTTCTAAAAAAGGCTCGAATGTGAAGTTTGATTTGGTTCAATTTAAATACTTAGAAGCAATCAGTTTTGTCGTTCTGAAACATCGACACAAAAATTTCATCCGTGACGATTTAGGCAGAAGAAACACATTTTTGCGACAGTTAATTGACAAAATAAATTAGTCTGATCATAACTATAGACAGTGTTGGGAAGGTGACTTTTAAAATGTAATCCCCTACAGATTACAGATTACATACACCAAAATGTAGTTTGTAACGGAATCCATTAAATTACTTAAAGTGAGTAATGTAATCTGAATACTTTGGATTACTTGATTTACTGCAGAGAAACAAAGACCAGGAAATCATAACATAAGATGTTTTATCTGCTAAAAGAAAATAAAAAGCCCAGACTTTACTCAACCAAATTAAAAATATTATTGATAGAAGAAGAGGAGACATGTCCACACAGCAGGATTTAGTCCTGTTAAATCCTGGTTTAGTCCTGGTTTAGTCCTGGTTTAGATCTGGTTTAGACCTGGTTTAGACCTGGTTTAGACCTGGTTTAGACCTGGTTTAGTCCTGGTTTAGTCCTGGTTTAGACCTGGTTTAGTTCTGGTTTAGTCCTGGTTTAGTTCTGGTTTAGACCTGGTTTAGACCTGAGTTTAGTCCTGGTTTAGACCTGGTTTAGTTCTGGTTTAGTTCTGGTTTAGACCTGGTTTAGACCTGAGTTTAGTCCTGGTTTAGATCTGGTTTAGTTCTGGTTTAGACCTGGTTTAGTTCTGGTTTAGACCTGGTTTAGTCCTGGTTTAGACCTGGTTTAGTCCTGGTTTAGACCTGGTTTAGTCCTGGTTTAGTCTGGGTTTAGTCCTGGTTTAGTCCTGGTTTAGTTTCCGGCAATGAGTGGAATTACAGAGAGAACAAAAAAGGGAAATAGCCCAAAATATGAAAACAGGAAAATACATCTGTGTAATCAATTTATTTCAACAAAGTAACTGTAATCCAATTACCACTCAGTGAAACAGTAACTGTAACTCATAATCTGTACTCTGATTACATAATGCCGGTACATGTAATCTGTTACTCCCCAACACTGACTACAGGGGCGACAGTGGCCAGGTGGTTCGACGCCCCACCCCAAAGACTGCCTGACCAAGTTCTGACATTGTGTCCTTAGGCAAGGCACTTCACCACAAGATTATTTGAAAATCTTAAAATACTAAACTATATTAACAGTTCGTGTAACATTTGTTCTTTTGAATTTCAATTAAGAACAAAAAACAATAAAATGGGAAAAGAGTTTCATTTTTCCGATCTAGTGTCAAAGAAAACAGATTTTGACCTCCATTTCCAATATTTCATTTTAAGTTTATTTCAAATTACACTAATCAAAAACAGTCTCGTGCCTGTTTTAATTTTGATATTTGATTCTCTTCTAGCAGCAGAACTCCTGGGGTAAATAAACCACAGAAAATAAAATATCAAAATTAAAATAGGCACCGTGACACTAAAGAGGAATAATGAAATAAACTGTTTTCCCATTTCTTTGTTCTTCATTAAAATTTTAAATAATGACTGGTACATGGACCATTATTATGTTTTAGTGAATGACAAGTTGAACCTGCTGAAAGCACAAGGACTAAAGTTTAAGAATGCAATTCAAAGGAGCTTTCAAAGTGAAATCAAACATTATATTTGAGAGATTTGGCACAGTGATGGAACAATAATCACAAACAATTTAACAGTTACAACAGTAACAACGTATTCACAGAAAACATGATTTGTACAAGACACACTCAGCAGCTGTAGTAGTGTATAAATTAACAGTAGAAATACAGAATAAAGCACAGAGCAGATGATCCGTTCAGTTGAAGTTCTAGAGAAAAGCTCCGGGGGGTTTTCTGGGGTCTTTCAGGTTTCTGTATCTGTACGCCAGCCACACGCCCAGGATCTGCAAGAGACGGGATCTGGTTCAGTCCTGGTTCAGTCCTGGTTCAGTCCTGGTTCAGTCCTGGTTCAGTCCTGGTTCAGTCCTGTAGTTTCAAAGTGTGTAAAATAACAAACATTGAGTGAGGGTGCGTTCACTCTTGTCCCTGTTGGGTCCTGGTCTGTACCAAATTTACTCCAGATGGAAAACCTGGTCTAGTCCTGGTCTAGTCCTGGTCTAGTCCTGGTCTAGTCCTGGTCTAGTCCTGGTCTAGTCCTGGTCTAGTCCTGGTCTAGTGCATTTAGAATGTTTCCACAGAGTCTGACCAATCTTCCAGTTCAAACTTGGTTTAACCTCTTCTACTTTTATCACCCATCCCGCGTCAGTCCCGCGTCAGTCCCGCGTCAGTCCCGCGTCAGTCCCGCGTCAGTCCCGCGTCAGTCCCGCGTCAGTCCCGCGTCAGTCCCGCGTCAGTCCCGCGTCAGTCCCGCGTCGTTAGTTCTGACCTCTGTGAAGCTGAAGAAGAGTCCGATTCCTCCGACGAACCTCAGGATGTCCCCGGTGTAAGCAGTGATGATGTCTGCGCAAGGCTGACAGGAGAGCGCCTCCTTCAGACAGCTCTGAAACAATACAACACACACTTCAGACAGGAGCAGACAGGAGCAGAGCCTGTCCTGTTCAGATACAGTTGTATACAGCTGTGTAGATGTGTACAGGTGTAAGGAGTCGTGTACAGGTGTACAGAGTCGTGTACAGGTGTACAGGTGTACAGGTGTACGTGTACAGGTGTATGTGTACAGGTCGTGTACAGGTGTATGTCGTGTACAGGTGTACAGTGTACAGGTGTATGGAGTCGTGTACAGGTGTATACAGTGTACAGGTGTATGGAGTCGTGTACAGGTGTATGGAGTCGTGTACAGGTGTATACAGTCGTGTACAGGTGTACAGGTGTATGTGTGTGTACAGGTGTACAAGTCAGGTGTACAGTCAGTGTACAGGTGTAACAGTCGTGTACAGGTGTATACAGTCGTGTACAGGTGTATACAGTAGTGTACAGGTGTAAACAGTCAGTGTACAGGTGTGTACAGGTGTATACAGTCGTGTACAGGTGTAAACAGTCAGTGTACAGGTGTATACAGTAGTGTACAGGTGTAAACAGTCGTGTACAGGTGTACAGTCAGTGTACAGGTGTACAGTGTCAGTCACAGCGGTGCAGGTGGAGTTGTTGATGTGAGTGAAGCCGCAGCAGTTCAGAGTTCTCTCCACGTCCCTCTGAGTCGCCTCCGACCTGTTCCACCCCACCTCCAGCAAATGGTCCTGCACCAGAGACCAGGATTAGTCTGGATTTAGTCCGGGTCTAGTCCGGGTCTAGTCCGGGTCTGAGGGGTGTTACCTGTTGTTGTTTGTTGAGGGTGAGGCAGGCGCAGGACACAGAAAACTGCATCACAAACACCATGAACAGGATGATCATGTACTGAGCCTGAGTGAAGGAAAGACCCACAAAGAGACCAGGTCTGGACCAGTCCTGCTTTAGACCTGGTTCAGTGTCTATTATAGTCCTGGTTAAGATCCCCTCTAGTCCAGACTTAAACTTCTCCCTAAAGTTTTCAGTTCTGTTTAGACCCACTCTAGTCCAGAAATTAAAAGCTGGTTTAGTCCTGGTTTAGTCCTGGTTTAGTCCTGGTTTGGTCCTGGCTTGGTCCTGGCTTGGTCCTGGCTTGGTCCTGGCTTGGTCCTGGTTTAGTCCTGGTTTAGTCCTGGTTTAGTCCTGGTTTGGTCCTGGCTTGGTCCTGGCTTGGTCCTGGCTTGGTCCTGGCTTGGTCCTGGCTTAGTCCTGGTTTAGTCCTGGTTTAGTCCTGGTTTAGTCCTGGTTTAGTGCTGGTTTAGTCCTGGTTTAGTCCTGGCTTGGACCTGGTTTAGTCCTGGTTAGGACTAAAGTAGGACTAGAAAGGTTTGGCCCAGCTTTGGCCCTCATAGTTAAATCCACAGTTTGAAGGATACAAAGAAGAGCAGGATCTGGTTTTGTCGGAGCGCTCCACACAGTCCCATGAGCGCCACGAGGAACAGGAAGCAGCCCACTCCCACGACCCCGCCCACCACCTGCACACTGGACACGAGAGCGAAGAGGCGCCCCCAACTGGCCACTCCCACCAGCAGCACGCTCACCAGCTGTGGGAGCAGAGGTCGGTCAGTCTACAGGACGTTATGTGGTGACGGCACAAACAGACAATCATCACATGTTTACACCGCACTTTTCAACACACAGGAACACAGGAAACACTCAGTCTTACACTTGCACATGCACTCACACACTCACACACACTCACGTACGTATGCAGAGACTGGGAGAGGGGGTGAAGTGTTTTGCTCAAGGACACAACAGGAGCATTCATCTGGATTTGAACCGCCAACCTGTGGGTCAGTGGATCTGATCATGTGAACAACGATGTTTTATGTCTTGAGGAGGATTTGAACCTCCAGCCTTCAGATGAGTGGACACACACTCTCCTGAAGAGTCGGTTCTTCAGGGTTCAGGTCAGGTTTGGTAAAAACTCAAACTTTTGGACACATATTTTTTAGAATACATTAAAAGTGAGTGAGGACGGCCACAACGTGCTCCTGGGGCAGTTCTGTATCGTTTGAAAGAGCACAGGTACAGAAAGACTTTTAAATTGTGTTCTGAAATTTACTTTCAAAATCCTGGCGTTTGCTGTGGTCAGCTGGTACACTCTGTAAACACAAGCCTGTTCAGCTGGTTAGTTTCACCTGATACAAGTTGATAAACGTGTTTGGTCGGCTTTTCCATTGAGAAACACAGAGGCTGTGCCGCGCACATACATCCTGCTGGTGCTGCCCGTGTGCCAGCCTCTGTGTTGGCTGTGGTTTCACGAGGTTGTGTGTGTAACACTGACGTGTGCAGTGTGGTCGGGCTACTGCTGCACACACTTACCCAAGTCTGAACTGTTTTATCTCATTATCATCTGTTTTTCCAGGGTTCCTTCTGTACATCTGGGAAAAGACTCCTGATGGAATCTGACCTATTATACTGTTGCACTGTGGGTCAATATACTATATACTATATATTATATAATATAAACAGTTTTATGCATTTTTATTCACTCCACATTCTCTGTAGTCAAACTACTACTGTAGCCACAGCTGCCCTGGGACAGACCAGTGTTGTCACGATACTAAAATACAGATATGATGAAATATATAATTGTCTTTCCTTACACATATTATAATAGTACTTTCTTTTCTATTCCCGTGTGGTCTTATAATCCTCAGTGGTCTGTGTGTGTACTAGTCTATGTGCTCGTCTACTTGTGCTGATCCAGCTCAACATCATTCTAAACACATTCAGGGAAGGTTTATTTTTGTTCTGTCAATGGGACTTTTTTAGTATCGACACGTGTGAAAAATGAGTCTTAGTTTCGATTCTATTTTCAGTATCAATCAGTATCTGGTTTTTGCTGCTTTTGACAGCCCTGGGGCAGAC